GGAGACGCACTCACACTGAGCTTGGGGCTCAGCAATCCAAACTGAGAGCTGAGCTGGTGAGGAACCTGCATCAACCTGCGGTGAGTGACAGGAATAAAACCAATCCACAGAAAAAGGGGCTTCAACACACGACATTCATTCTGGGGCCAGGCAGACTGATGAGAACAAGGAACAGCAGTGACTTCAGTCAGCTACTCCCTTCTCAAGCAGGATTGGTGGGTTGTATCTGGCCTGGGTCATGCTCCAAGCAGAGACCCAATAGGTTAGCCCAAACCAAGTCCCTATGCTTGGCAGTGCACCCTAATGCAGTGAAGCCTTCAGCAGGTTGACTGCCCCAGAGGGGAGGCCCCAGCATAAGCTGCCCCTGTTTGTACCTCCATAGTACACTGCAGTGGGCAGCAGCATGCTTCATACGAACTGTAACCAACCAAGAAAGAAACTGGGGCCTCCTGTATACACCTGTATGGAAAGAAAAAAAATGAGAAGCGGAAGCAACAAGAAAGGGTTCCCATCCCCCAACCCTGAGAACATTGATCCAGGAAAGGTAAATGCAAAGGAGATTGAGGACGCCAAACATGCAATATCAGACGTGGCACCAGTGGACATAAAGAGATATCTTTGGGACCACATAGATGAGTTCAAAAGTGAAATATTTAACCAAGTAAAGCAAGATATAAATAGAATAATAAAAGAAATGCTAAGCACCTCTCAAGAAGACACAGATGGAAGAATGGAGGAACAAAAAAGGGGAGAACATTTGATGGAGAATATATAGAAAACATAGAATACATGAAAACAGAGTCAGAGATTACCAGGAAATTAAAAACTCCATTGAAAGCTGGCAAAACTGCTTGAAAGAAATTAAGGATAGATTATCCAGATTGGAGGACAGGTTTGCAATGTGGAATCATGAAAGGAAAAATTTTCTTAAAAATAAGGAAACAAGCAATAACAATACAAAGGCTAGAAGATGACAAGAGAATATATAACTTATGAATTAAGAAGCAGGGGTACAAACAAAGGCTATTCACAGAAATAATTAAGGAAAACTTCCCAAACATAGGAAAAGGAAATGATAGTCAGATGTATGGAGGCATACAGAATTCCAACCACCTACAACCAAAACAGAACTACCCCCAGACATACAACAATCCAGATCCCAGAAATCCAATATAAGAACAGAATATTAAAAGCTTTCAAGAAATAGATTACTAACAAGGGAAAGCCCATCAGAATTACAGCAGACTTCTCGTCACAAAACATCAAATCAAGAAGAGCATGGAGGGAAGTATTCCAAGCCCTGCAAGAAAATAACCTCCAGCCCATATTAATATACCCTGAAAAATTGTCTCTAGAAATTAATGGAGAAACAAGATGCTTCCAAGATAAAGAGGAACTGGGGGAATTCACAACCACCAATCCAACTCTACAGAGAATACTTCAGGACATTCTAAAGAGAGAGAAAACTACCAGGATTTCAGGAACAGTGGCAGAGAGGCCTCAATAAATGGAGCAGAAAGTGAAATGAAGAAGACAAACAGACAACTAATGATGGAAAAAGAACACAACAGAAATGAAGCAGAGAAGATTGGATATAATTTCTAATATAGATGGCCTACATACACTAACTTTAGGCAAAAAAGAGAGAATCACAGGCAGAGTGGATCAAGAGGTAGGGTCCACCAAGATGTTCCTAATAGGAAATATAATTAACCTGAAGAAGGGTATATGGACCGAAAATCAAACATGAGAAAATAGTACTCTATGTGATAGGAAACCAGAGAGTAATAGGGGCAGCTGGACAAGTATTTATAGATAGGTTGGAAAGACAGGCTTTAATAGGTAAACAAATACAACTAGAGATCAAGTCCAGGAGTGAGAAGGTTCAGAACCACTTAGTTAAATAGCAGTCCCCCCCCCCCCGAATATAAAACTGAGGGTGTTGGGGAGACCCAAAAATGCACAGTACACCCTGGGGGAGTGAAAGGGAAGGAATAGTCTTTAAAAAGACAGCAGAAGATATTGCTAATAGTGTTATCAGGAATTAAAACCCACACCAGTCTGTTTAGATAGAACTTATTCCATCCCAGTATGTATGCAAGGACTAGATCTGAGGGCACTTACCGCTATCCCAAAAATATCGGGATATAGCACAATAATCATCTTTAATTTCCTATTAACTTAATCTGGATCCCTGTATAACTTATACTGTTATATCGTGACTGATCTTAGTTAAATCTGATTTGTTTGATTGTTGTTTGTTATTGACAGGTTTTATTTAAACCTGTTAAGGTTGATAGTATCAAGTCTGAGAGTATAGACAACTATACTGAAAATGACAAGGATTCACTATGATAGCCATTCTGGTTTGATTATTACCTGTGTTTGTAGTTCTACACTATCTATAAAGTTGTATTTCTATTAATACTGTTATATACTGATATATTCAATTATACTGTATCTGATGATATAGCCAATTCTATTGATGATAACAAGAAACAACACAGTAACCATGATAGAACTCCTTATACAGATGTTTTATATGTCTTTTTAGTTTTATGTGTCTATAGGAATATGTTTTTTTCTGTCCCGCTTTGTTCTGTTTCTCTCTCTACTATAGAAAGGATAGAAATACATGTTAAGACTCATGCTTGTGTAAAACCTATAAACAGTTTACGAGAACTGATCTTATGACACATGATGAAATGAACAATTACTTTGAAGGAAAAAAAGACACTACAGCATTCAGTGCTGATTCCAGAGTGTCATGATGTGAAATTCAGCAATACAATAATTCTTTGTTCAGAGTGATTTTAGTTTGCTTTGGTTTGTTTAATCTCAACATAAATGAAGATATGGATAAATGCATGTATGTTTAAGAGTATAGGATTGATAACCATACTACTAAGTTTTTATTAGATAGTTGAACAGAACTATTTGCAGTCTCGCTGTTTGAATTCCCATTTATATGTTCCACTGTTGTATCTTGAACAACTATTTGTAATAGGACAATATGTAAACATCAACAAATGATTTTTTTATTGTTTATTTTTTTCTTTGAAAGTATGTATTATATCTACCCGTTTTCTGTATTGTTTTGTCTTTTTTTAAATAAAATTTTTTAAAAAAGAAAGTAAGTTTTGTTCCATGATACTACTTGGGTATATCTAGAGCATATTATACCATATGAAATAAGCCAGTCAAAAAGAATAAACACAATATGATTCCACTTTATGAGCTATATGAAGTAGTTGAATTCATAGAAACAAAATAAAATGGTGAATATTTTGTGATTTTAAAAATACATAAAAACAGGGGCTAGGGATTTAGCTCAGTGGCATAAGTGCGTGCCTGGCAAGCACAAGGTCGTGAGTTCAATCCCTGGTACTAAAAAAAAAATACATAAAAAGGAGGGGCAAGATTCAGCACTCTGGGGTTTTTTTGTTGTTGTTGTTTTTTTTTTTTTTTTTTTTTTTTTGAGACAGAGTGTTGCTATATAGTTCAAGCTGGCATTGAACTTACTGTATAGCCCAGGCTGACCACAAACTTTTGGCAATTACTCCTGCCAAAGTCTCCTGAGAACTGGAATTATCGGCATGCATCACCATGCCTACCCAGTATTCTGGTTTTGAAGAAACTCACATCAGATTTCATGAAAGAAGTAAAAACCGCAAAACAAAAGTGGACATTTGAGTGAACACATGCACAGGAAATGGTTCCAAATTCAATAGTTAGGATCACATCAAAATTAAAAAGCTTTTGTACATCAGAGGAAACCACTAACACAGTGAAGAGATAACTTACAGAAAGAAAATATTTTTACCTGTCAATCTTCAGGCAAAGGACTAACACCTAGAAAGTATAAAGAACTAAAAAAAATAAAATTACGCCCCTAAAGATTTAAAGACCCAGTCTAAAAGTGAGCATCTAAAATAGACAGTCCCAGATAAAGAAGTACAAACAGCAGATAAAATACATTTTTAAAATGCTCAACATCACTGGTGAGTCAAGAAATACAAATTAAAACAACACTGAGATTCCATCTCACTCCAGAAAGAATATCATTAAGAAATCAATAAGAAATGCTGATGAGGCTGTGGGGAGAAAGGAACTCTTCTGCACTCTTGGTGAGAGTGTAAACCGGTGCAATCTCTGTGGAGATCAGTATAGAGATTTTTCAGAAAACTACAACGTTTCATTTAGGCTAGCTATTTCCCCTTGTATCTTCCTGAAAGTGGTAAATGCACCATACCACACTGATACATGCATATTCATGTTTATTGCAGCACAATTCATAATTGCTAAATCTTAAAAACAGCCCATTATGTCAATTAATTGATGAATGGATATAAAAAATGTGATATTTCTATACAGTGGAGTATTACTATGCCATAAAGAAGAATAAACTTGAGTCATTTGCAGGAAAATGCATGCCCTTCAAGGCCATAATTTGAAGTGAAATAAATTGGACACACAAGTTTGAAATGTTACATTGTTTCTCTTGTGTGAGAAGCTGACAGTAAATAAGGAGCCAAGAGGATGTATACTGGAAAGTAGGAGGAACTTGTTCAAATAGGAATGGGAACAAGGGAGGAAAAAGGGTAAACAAGGAAAGGAGATAAGAATAGAAAGGAAAATGAAAAACAATGCTTCTTTAAATGGGGGGGGGAGCACCTGCCTTGCAAATGTGTGGTTGTGAGTTTGATCCCTGGTACCAAAAATAAATAAATAAGGAGAGGAATGGGAGAAAAGAATGAAGATATATTATGTACAGGTACAAATTATTTATGATGAATGTGATCAATATGTATGACAAATATATACTAATAAAAACACAAAGTTAAAAAATACTGTCTACATTTACAGGAATAATTGAGTTCCAGGGGGTGGTAACTTTTATATATTTTTGTTTATAAGAATCCTATTGGCAACATATAATCTTAAATTTAACTAAAAGCAGATCCATTTCTGTGGCATCACATGATGTTTTTCTCTCCTAGGTCTTCCAGAGCCTTGAAGATCACCATTTGGAAGTGGTGGCTTTTTTCAGGGAAAATGGCTTCCATGGCCTTCTTGCCCATGACTCAGAGTATGCTCTCTACAATATTCCCTCTTACTATAGTTCCCATGCTCTAAAGTTAAGCTGGAATGGGAAGAACCTCACAACTAACCAATTCCTGATGCAGGAGGTGGCCAAACAACTGGGCCTGAAGCGCATGAATTTTCCCATATTTGCTGCACTGTTAGGTAAGTGCTTTAAAGGAGGGAAGCCAGTGATTATTAGTTTCATCTTCCATTGTTAAGGGATGAATACTAGAGTAATTTAGCCTGTCATTGTCTTTTTGAAGTCCTCATGTCCAAAGCAGCTATAGAAAACTCAGTAGGGGTTTGGGCTTCTTAGTAGACTAGTCTAAAATCAGCATGTTTGTTTTATGGATTGCTGCAGGACATTAGAGAACATTATTTTGACGCTTGTAAAACTTTTTTTATTGGCATTTTTGTTTTTTTAAAGAAAGGGTCTCACTGTAGTTCACGCTGGTCTTGAATTCTCTTTGTAACCTAGACTGGCTTCAAACTTGGGATGATCCTCCTGCCTCACCTCCCAAGTGCTGTGGTGACATGCATATGACACCATCCTTGACTATAAAACTTTCTTTTATTACTTTTCATAACTGTTGTATGCAGATTATATCTTGGGCCAAATGTTTCAGTGGTCCTAGAACACCTTGGTTCTCTACTCTAATCATTCACATTTCTTCCCCAGTATCTAAATTTAGATCAGAAACACAAATTGATTATCTTCTTTGTTTTCATTGTTAGTATTATGAATATTTTCAACATGCAGTAAAATTGAAAGAATTTTGCTGTGAAAAACCCTTTATTCACCACCTATATTCTGCCATTAATATTTTACTATACTTTCTTTGTCAAATATCTATTTATATATCCATTTATGTTTTTAAAATCTATTTTAAAGTAAATATAGATGATTCATTATATTGTGAATTTGTTTTTCAAGTACTTTGTTTTTCAGAATGTTAACATCAGTGTTAACATCTGTCTCAGATGTGATCGCTGCTCTATAAATTCCGAAAGACAAGAATTTGGTAATGTAATAGAATAACACAAGTTTTGGAATTAGGTCTTACATAAATCACGGAAGTCAAATTTTGCCAATTTCAGTTTACTCATCTATGAAATAGGAATAATAGTACAATAGTGCCTCATGGTACTTTTGATGAAGTTAAATGAAATGAGATATATAAAATGTACAGTACTTACTAGAGAGCCAGTAATTTGTTGGTTTTCATTATAAAAGGCAGCAGGATTAGATGATAAGTTAATAAATAGTATGGGCTTTGGAATTAGACAGTCCTACCTTTTTAACCTGGGGGTGGGCCTATCTTGGTTCAAGTCACCAAACTTGTCTGAACTTCAGTTTTCTTATGTGTACTGTAGAGATAATACTGTCATGCATGATCATTAAAAAGATGGTGCATGTAATGCATATGATATATGGTTGGAACCAGCACATAGCTTCCGTAATTATTACATTAATTCTGTAATTACATTAAGAATATACATCTCTGTGAACTATTTGGTCATTTTTTCTATCAGGACTCTTTTTATGGCCTGATGTTTCTAAAAAATATTTGCACAGTCAATAAATGACAAATATACTTTGTAGGTAACCACATTCTTCCAGATGAGGATCTGGCTGCTTTTCACTGGAGCCTTTTAGGACCAGAACATCCTCTTGCATCACTTAAGGTAATGTGCACCTACTTCCTTCCTGTACAAATTAGGGGATGTCAGCTTCTGACTGGAGCTTGATGGAATAATTATCTTTCATTAGATTCAAAATACTTTGTACACCTAAAAATTTAGGGGTAGTGGGGCATGGTGGCGCACACCTGTAATTCCAGTGCTCTGGAGGCTGAGGCCGCATGAGTTTGAGGCTAGCTTGGGTTACATAATGAGTTTAAAACCAACCTGAATTATAGAGTGAGACCCTGTCTCAAAAAGAAAAACAAAAATTAGTTGAAATAATACCTTTAATATAGCAAGAACTGATCACATCTCTGAAGCAAAATACTAATGCCTCAATAATGAAATAATGATCAAAGGACAGAATCAGTAAATTCACAAAAAGGAAATATAGCTACCAATAATATGAGTAAATGTTTACCTCAGCAGTGATAATGCATATAAATAAAATGAGTAGTGTGATTTTTTTTATTAACAGTTTAGTAAATATTGATACATTAGTCTACTGCCGTCAAGTCTGTGGCAAGACCAATACCCTCTTACACCTCTGGTGGTAGTGTAAGTTGGAGAATATATTTCATTCCCTCTTTCACTTTTCTAGATGACTATTTCATACCTTCCCGTCTTTCTAGCTTCTCATTTTCTCGCCCACAGTCCACGACCTTACTTCCTGTTCAGATAGAAGTAGTACATAGAGAACTTCCATCTGCTCCCAGACCTGGCTACTATAATATCTCATTTTCCTCAAAAAAGTTGTCTGTACTATCACACTTAATAAAATCAAATAAAGCACAACAGGATAGAACAAGTCAAAACAGAAGAACAAAATCATGGTAGGACTTAACATCAGATGATAGTAAATCAGCAATGGCTACCATAATGTCTTGTTTTCTTCAAAATAGCTGTTCATACCATCACACATAATAAAATCAAGCAAAACAGAATAAAACCAATCAAACAAATTAATGAAAGCCTTATAAGAACTTCAAAGCAATATAATAGGAAACCATGATTACCATAATATATCCCATTATATTCAAAATAGCTACCCCTACAATATGACAGCATAAAATCTAACAAAACAAGAGAACAAAGCCAAATGTAACAAAATTATGTAAGCAATACAAGAATTCAAGACAAGAGAATAAGAAATTAGCAGTAGTTTCTACTTTTCCCTCCCAGGTGTTTCCTCCCCTTGGCTCTTACATTAACTATTTTGCTGTTTGATCCCATCAACTCCTTCTGTTTCTTATGCTAGGGTTCACATGTATGAGTTCCAACTGTTTCATCCATGAACATGATCTACAGTTGATCCGCAGCTTTGAGACTATTCTACTTTATAGCTGGGCAGCTACTCACTGCATGAAAATACTCTATCTTTTTTATCCATTCTGTGGTCAATGGGCAAGTTATTCCTGCTTTTTTTTTGGTCTCCTGTCACATGGAACAATTATTTTCTCTCCTTTGATTTTCAGTCTATGAATTTCCTTTCCAGTTAAATGTGTTTCTTGTATACAGTATATCGATGGATCTTGTTTCTTGATCCACTCTTCCTGCTTCTTTTTTTTTTTTTTTGCTGACCTGAGCAATCTAAATTAATGGTTACAACCAGCATACATTGCTTTGTCTCTGCCCTGCTATCCTCCTGTTGTTGACCCTACACTTTTCTCCTTCATTCAATTACCTGTCTTGTTTTGCATTTCTCCTCGCTGCTGTTCCTAGAACGATAGTCATCTTTATCTCTCTCTATAGTATCCTTTAGCACTTTCTGTAGGGTTGGTTTGGTAGTCATGAATTCCTTCAATTCTTTATCATGTAAGCATCTTATTTTTCCATCAGTTTTGGTAGTTTTTCAGGGTAGATCAATCTGGGTTGGAAGTTGTTTTCTCTTAGGGTTTGAAACACTTCACTCCAAATTCTTCTTGACTTGATTGTTTGTGTTGATGTGTGCTCTGTGTCTGATTGGTTTTCCTTTATAAGTTAATCTGTCTCTTTTCTCTAACAGCTTTTAATATTCTGTTTTTGTGCTGAGTTTCTGGGATCTTTGGTTATGGCTAGTTGGAGTTGCATATGCCTCACTTATTTGCATGCCAGATCCATTTCCCATGTTTGCGGAGTTTCCTTCTGTTACTTCTGTGAATATCCTTTTAATTTCATTTGTGTTGACTACTGCTTTTTCACTGATACCTAGCACTCTTAAATTATGCTTTTCTGTGTCATCTTGCAGCCATTGAGTTCTTGTTTCTTGATTCTATTGTATTTTTAAGAGATCTTTCATGATGGCTTGCTGTAATCCTATCTTCAAGGTTTGAAAGTCTATCTTCAGTCTCTTTCAAGTGGTTTTGCCCTTTTGATTGAATTTTTAATTTCCTGCGTCTCTCTTTGAATCTGTTTCATGCATTGTAATGCCTTTCTAGATTCATTCAAGGTTACCATCATTTTCCTGTGCTCCTCTTTTTCTCTACGTCTTCTTTACACCTGCTGAATGATTCTTTTAGTATGTTTGTGATTTCTTCTTTTACCTGAGACATTATTTCTTATTTGACTGCTTTTACAATCTCATGAAGTTGTTTCCTTACTTCAGTTGCTATCCTCTCAGAGATTTCAGCTGTGTGAATTCTATTTTTTTCCATGACTGTATCTCCCAGACTTATTCTGTGTGGGCTAGAGGTCTGAGTTTGCCTTTTGCTCCTGGTCTTGACATTTTCCTGGGTTCCTCCCAACAATCTGGTTGTGGGACTCCAGGCACTTCCACGTTGGCTACCTCTAGGCAATGTAGGTCAGGCCTTCCTCTAATACCAGATTTACGGGGAGGTGGCAGGGCTTATGCAGATCTGTGCAGCTACCCTGGAGTTTCACTGATGATCAGGGGTGCATGGAGGTGGGGATGCTTCTCTCAGCTTGTGTGTCTAAATTGGGATTCCCATGATGGTGGCAGATACATAGAGGTTTGTTTGTCTGATTCTGCTAGTGGGCCATGGCTGCCCGAGAGAACTAAGGCCCTCCAATGGTGGCCAACAGATGCACAGGGCTTACCTGGCTGTGTGTCCCTGCTCCTGCTGGCCACCTGCAGGAAGAAGCCTTCAGTGGCAGATCCTGAAGTTAAAGGTGGATCTGCTGGTTTTTTCTGCCTACACTGGCCACCTGCAGAACATGACCTGTTGGTGGCAGTACACAGCAGGCAAAGTTGGATCTGTGTGTCTCTCTTGACCCATGCTGGCTGCGCAGAAGAAAGGGCCTTCTGGTGGCAGTGCCCGGCAGGCAGAGGCGGATCTTCTGGCTCTCTCTGCTCACTCTGGGTGTAGAGGAAAGTGTCTTTATTGATTCATTTCTTATAATTTTTACAGTACTGGGGAATACACTCATGGTCTTCTTACTTAGCTATATCCTCAGATTTTTTTGTTTCAGTTGAAGACAAGGTCTTGCTTAGTTGCTAAATTGCCCTGCTAGAGCTTAAACATGTAATCTTCTTGCCTTAGCCTTCTAAAGTGATAGATTACAGGCGTGTGGCACCATCCTTGGCTTTTTTTTTTTTTTTAGATAGCTTTTATGTAGGCTGCTCTTTAACTTTCTGTGTAGCCCAGGCTATCCTTAAACTCACAATTGTCTTGCCTCAGCCTCCTCAATGCTGGGATTATAGGTATGTGTCATCACATTTGATGTGTGCATCTATTTATAAAATGACCTCTTGACCTCATTCCTCCCCACGCAACCTACTGATCCATTTTTATTATGTGTGTATGTATGTATTTATTTGCAATTCCAAGGACTGAACCCAGGTTGTTGCTCTAGGCAAGAGTTCTACTACTGAGCTATATCCCTGTGCTTCTTATTTTATTTTGATACAGAGTCTTGCTGTCTTCCTTAGGCAGGGCTTGAGTTTGTGGTCCTTTTACTTTAGCATTCTGAAGAATTGCAATTACATCCGTGCACCTTAGCAGAATTTTGTATATATAGAACTTAAGCTGTTTACTGTCCTCTTCCCCAATTCTCTTTACAATCTGATTTATTGAATTTGCCTTTGACAAGTTCAAAAATTACCTCAAGTTAGTAAACCCAGTGTTTAGCTCTCCATTTTCATCTTAATTGAACAGTTAACAGCATTTAACACAGTCATTAATTCTTCACTTGGCTTTAAGGACAGTACCCTCTTCTGGTTTTCCGCCTACCTCATTGACTGCTATCTTTCAGTCTGTGTAACTGCTTTTAACTGTGGAGTGTTTCAGAATTCCATCTTAGGTCCCTTCTCTTCTATCTGCATTTATGATCGGTCCAGTCTAATGTCTTAAAATCATCTGTCCATTGATCACTCCTAAGATTATGCCTGTCACTCTGACCTCTCCTTTGAGCCCCAAATTCTAATACCATATCTGTCTATTAAAGCTCCGCATTTACATATCTAACAGGCCTCTCCAAGTAATGTTTATAGTGGAGACTTCTGATATCTCCTGTGAGCTTACTCCTCCGACAACTATTCTCATTTTCCTTAAATGGCAGCTTCATTCTTCCAGTTTTTAGGCTAAAAACCTTGGCATTATCTTGACTTCCCTGTTTCTCATATACCACATCTCATTTTTCCAGCTAATAACATCAAACTGGATACAACAGCATATTCCTGTAATTATAGCTACTCTGGGGTCTGAGGCAGGAGGATCAAAAGTTCCAGGCCAACCTGAGCAACTAAGTGAAACTCTGTCTCAAAATATAAAATAAAAAGGGATAAGGGTGTACCTTCATTGTAGAGCACATACCTAGCAAGTGCAAGACCCTGTGTTCAATTACCAGAACCAGAAAACAAAATAAAACAAAACAAAAAACCTTACCATGGGTTGGGGATTTGGCTCAGCAGCATAAGCACCTACCTTGCAAGCTCTCAGTCCTGAGTTCAATCCCCGGTACCAAAAACAAAAACAAAAACAAAACAAAACAAAACAAAACCTTATCACTTCTCTCTTTAAAAATATATCTATCTCTCACCATTTTTGTTACTGCTACACTGAGTCACCATTATTTCTTGCCATGTTTCTAATCATTGGTCTTCTGCTTATTGTCCCCCAGACCCCCAACTAATCTCAATATAACCGCACACTGAACCTTTAAAATAAAAAGATTCAGAACATGTCACTTCTCTGAAACCTTCCAGTGACTCTTCATGTAATGCTTATAATGTTTATTACCATGGTCTAGAAACCTCTTTCCTGTTTTTAACATCAAATTTCTTTTCTCTTATTTTTCTCCTCACTATTGGAACCTTTCTACTTACTATTCCCTCTGTTTGAAATGCTTTTTCCTCTCACATGACCATTTTTTTACTCCTAGAATTTTTTTCAAATGCTATTTTCTCAGTAACACTTTTTCTGATTATTGCATTTATAATTATATGTACACCCATACACACCTGTACACATATATGTGCTTGCATTTCCTAACCCTTTCTATGGTTGCATTTTCTTAATAGGACTTAATTCATCTAGCACATGACATTTTGTCTATTTGTGTATGTTTTATGGTACTGGGGATGGAATACAGGGCCTTCACACTTAGCTACATCCCTAGCCCATTTTTTATTTTGAGGATTTCTCTTAGTTGCTCAGGCTGGCATGGAACTTTCAATTCTCTTGCCTCAGCCTCCCAGCATGCTGAGATTATAGGTGTGCACCACCATACCAGCTCCAGTTGCTTTTGTTTCACTTCCTTAACCTGTTCCCAATACATCTACACTAAAATTTAAGGGCAAGCATGTTTTTTTCTTTCTTGTTCACTGCTTTGTCCCTGGTACTAGCTAGGACAATGCCTTTCACATACTGTGCATGCAGGAAATGCTGTACAACATTTTGGCAAAACAGTTTTTATCAAAACATTTTAGGAAGTTTGTACCCTTTGGCTCAGTAATTGCAATTTGAAGAAATTTAAAATCAAACAATTAGAAATTGGGCAATAAATCATACCTACACTTCATCACAGTATCAAAGTTTCAAAAAAAATTTTATGCATCTCAAAAGTAGGGAAAATAATATAGTAGTATCATAACTATATCTTCAAGTTATCAAAGTTTTGTTATACTTGCTGGGATTTGTTGTTGCTAATGTAGTTTGGAGCAAATGCAGAACCTCAAGTTATTATATTCCCATATTCTTTAGTGTACATCTATAAAATGTTCAATTTTCTTACATAAGCATACTGCATCACTCCTAACAAAATTAATGCTAATGTCTTGGTGACTTAATAGCCACTCCATTTTCAGGTTTTCTTGTCTCAAAAAGACCTTTTGTGGTTAATTCAAATCAACATCCAAAGATTCGTTCACACATTTTAATGTTAATTTTTTTTAGACAGGCTTTCCCTATGTAGTACAGGCTGGCTTTGGACTCACTTATGTAACCTAGGCTAGCCTTGAACTCACAGCATTCCTTTTGCTTCAGTCTCCCAAATGCTGGTAGTAAAGGCATCACACTTGGCCATACAATATTACTTCTAATAGCCAAAATTTAGAATCAGCCAAAATGTCTCTTCAGCTGTGCATAATCCCATCACTCAAGAAGCTGAGACAAAAGGAGTTTGAGGCCAACCTGTGCTACATAATGAGTCCAAGGCTAGCCTGAACTGCATAGTGAGACCCCATCTCAAACAAAACATCTCTTTAAATAGAACTGATTAATTATGACAGTGTAATACTATAATAGTTATCTCTGTAGGAGTATTACAGATATGTTTTTATACCTTTATACTTTTTCAGTCTTTTCCAAGTATTTTGTACTGAAAGTTAATTGGGAAAGTATTTTTAAAAAAATATTTTTCAGTGAATTCACTGAAATTGCATTCCATATTTCATCCCTACCTCACTCTTTCTTAGTAATTCATCTTTAATATCAGTGTCACTTAATTTTTTCCCTTTTGTAGGTGCGAGCACATCAGCTTGTTCTTCCACCTTGTGATGTGGTGATCAAGGCTGTTTCTGAATATGTTAGTTCCATCAAAGACACTTCAAACCTCGATGTTGTTGGGAAGGATGTTTTCAAACAGTCACAGGTGAGCTAGCCTTCTTCCTAAGAGTCATCAGTTTGCTTAACTTCTGCAGTAGCACTATCAAGCCTCCTATTTTCTGTGTCACCTAACTTCTCTTCTTCTAGCTTGATTTCCTTTTAAAAATATTAGTTGATCTGGATCAAAAGCCTTTTTTTCTTGCTTATTTTTTACTGATAAAGTAATAATAGCCCATTCTGGAAAACTTAGAAAATAAAGAACAAAAGTAACTTAAAATCTTGTTATCCAGAAATAACTTGGTATAATTAACACTCTGGCATATAGTCTTTTCTTTGTTTCTTTGATTTTTTTTTTTTTTTTTTTTTTTTTTTTTTTGGCACTGGGGATCAAACCCAGGACCTTGCATGTGTTAGGCAAGAGTTCTGCCACTGATCCTTCTCCATTTTTCTTTTGAGACAGTCTTATTAAATTGTCCACATTGGCGTCAAATTTTCAATCTTCCTGCCTCACCCTCCCCAGTAGCTGAGTACTGGGATTATGCACAGCTTCTCAGGTGTGTGGCATCACAAATAAAGGAGTCTCTTGCTTTTTAAAGGGATGAGTCCGCATAAAATAAGAATCAAAATTTCACTGATAATAGTGGGAGAAATGACTGAACTTCAGTTTTAATTTATAAAATGAAATTAAAAGTTATGAAAATAAACTCATTTTCTTTTTAACAATTTGATGATATGTGAAGCTCTTGAGTTTTCCACTTCTGTTTTTTAAATTAACATTCAAACTGACATTTGTGCATATATGTACAGTTCTCTGAATTTTTACCTAGATTTATATAATGATCATCACATTCAGGTTATAACAGTTATACTATTCAACATGTCTCTCATACTATACTTTTGTAATAATTTCCAAGCTCAACCCTATTCCCATTAAGCACTACTTCTCTTGACATTACAGTTATGTCTTCTAGAGAATATTATATGAATGGAATCATATGGTATGTAATCCTTCAAGAATGACTTCTTTCTTTTTTTCTCCAAATCCTTTTTTTTTTCAAGGAGAAGAAGAAAAAGGAAAAAAAAAACCTTAAAAAAATTTCAGAACACATCAACCAAGGGGCAACAATAGTATATACATTGCACATTGGAGAATGACTTCTTTAATTTGACATGATGCCTTTAAGAGTTTTCTCAATCATTCATTGTTACATATATTAATGATTCACTCCTTTTGGGTGCTGAGTAATATTCACTGTGTGGTTATATTAGTCAGCTTTCCCATCAGTGGAACATATTACCTGACACCCACAATTTTTAAATAGAGGAGGCTTATTTTTTCTTTTTCTTCCTTTTTTTTCATTTTTGGCTTGGGTTTTTCGAGACAAAATTTTGCTTTGTAGTACAGGCAGGTTCTTAATTCACTATGTAGTCCAAGCTGGTCTTAAACTCATAGAGATCTTCCTCCTGAGCCTCCCTAGTGCTTGTATTAAAGGCATGTACTGCCACAGCTGGCAATGTTGAGAGATTTAATGTGTCTCATGATTTCAGAGGATTCAGTCCATGATTGACTGGCTCCAATGCAGAAACACGGTAGAGAGAAGGTATTGTAGAACAAAGGTGCTTAGTTCGTGAGGGCTAAGAAGCAGAACAGTGCAAGAGAGAATGGGGCCAGGGACAAAAGATAAAGTTCCAAAGTCATACTTTCATTACTTACCCAGACTTATACAGAAATGTGCTTTAATAATCCCATGGATGTATCCCAGCCCAACGAAGTTGACATTAATTAAGATAAACCATCATAGCTTATCTACCACATGTTGTTTATCTATTCACCCATTAAAGGATATTTAACTTAAAGGATATTTAAGTTAATTATAATTTTTGGTTGCTTTAAATAGAGTGCAATAACAACTTGGGCACATGTTTTTATGTGAGCATAAATTTTCATTTCCCTAGTTTAGATATCTGTGAATGGGATTACTGGGTCATATGTTAAGTATATTTCTTAATTTATAAGTCCTTGGTAAACTATTTTCCAGAATAGCTGTTTCTTTTTATTACGAGCACTTGGTCGGTATTTTTAAAATTTATTTTTTATTTTTATTTTGTGGTATTGGAGATCAAAACTAGGATCATGCATGTTATATACAAGTACTATACATCGAGCAACACCCTTAGCTCTCATCATGATTTTAATTTGCATTTCATGAATGACTAATGATGACAGTTTTTTATGCTTAATCCTGTTTGGTGAATTGTTGGTTCACCAACAGTCTTTTACCCACTTAAAAACCCAATTTGTTTGTCACTTATTGCTGAGCTTAGAGAATTTTTTATATGTTGTGTATCAAATATCAGTTTTGCAAATACTTTCTTCTTTTCTGTAGTTTACCTTTTAATTCTTCCCCTTTTTAGAATGAAATTCTTTTAATCTTTTGTGGATCATGCCTTTGGCCTCATCTCTAAGAAATCTTTGCCTAACTTCAGGCATGTTTATTTTCTCGTTTCATTTTTAAAGTTCAATAGATACACATTTTACACCTAGAACAAATCATTCATTTTTAGTTTATTTCTGTATAAAGTATGAGTAGCTTTTGCTTCTTGTTTTTGATTTTGTGTGTGCATATGCAGCAGCTGTTTCAACACCATGGGAGTACATATATCACTGTTTCATGATGCTTCAAATTCTTTTGGTATGGTACCACAAAAGGGAATAGCTGAGTAAAATGAAACTTCCACTCCTAATTTTTTAAGGAATCTCCACATTGTCCACAGTGGTTGCACCAGTCTACCTTGCCACCCATAGTGAAGAAGGGTTCCTTTTTCAGCATGGCCCTGCCAGCATTTCTTACTGGTTGATTTCTTGATGATAGCCATTCTTTCTGGAGTAAGACAGAATCTCTCTGTTGTTTTAATTTGATCTCTCAAAAGACCAGTGTTATTGAATTTTTTAATGTATTTATGTGCCATTTGTATTTCTTCTGAGAAGTGTCTATTCATTTCAGATGTCCATTTTTGGACTAGATCTTTAAATTTGAGGGGGTCTGATTTTTTAAATATTTATATGTTCTGGATATTAGTCCTTTGAAGAACAACTGGTTGAGATTTTTTTTCCCACTTGTGGATTATCTTTTCACTCTGCTAGTGGTTTCTTTTCCTGTGCAAAAGCTTTTTAATATGATAATATTCCAGTTGTTGATTCTTGAGATACTTTCCATGCAGTCAGGTTTTTGTTCATGAAGTCTTTGCCTATACCTATGTCTTCAAGAGTTCTACCTATTCTCTCTTCCAGCAGATTTAGTTTTTTGGTTTTAATATTTAAATCTTTGATCCAATTTGATTTTAGTTTAGTGCATGGTGATATACATGGGTCTAGTTTCAGTTTTTAGCATGTGGAAAGCCAGTTTTTGCAATGCCATTTATTAACAAGGCTTTCTCCCAGTGAAGGGGTTTGGCCTCTTTATCAAAGATAAGATAGCTGAGTGTGTTTGTTTCTGTTTTCATATCTGTTCCAGTGATCTGATGGTCTGGTTTTCTTTTGTTTTGTTTTCACTAGTACCATGCTTTTTTATCACTGTAGCTCTGTAGTATAATTTCAAGTCAGGGATTATGATGCCCATGGATTTGCCTTTGTTGCCCAGAATTATTTTTGGTATTGTAGGTCTATTCTGGTTCCAAATGAATTTTAGGAATGTTTTCTTTAGTTCTGTGAGATATGCTAATTGTGTTTTAAATTTTGGCAGCATAGCAATTTTTGCTATGTTGATTCTTCTACCCATGAGCAAGAGATATCTTTCCATTTTCACATATCCTCTTCAGTCTGCTGTTTCAGAGTACTGTAGTTTTCAGTATAGAGCTCTTTTATGTCCTTTCTTAGGTTGATTCCTAAAGTGCTTCATTTTTTTTCAATGCTATTGTAAAAGTTGTGTTTTCCTAATTTCTCTCTCAATGCGTTTGTTATTCATGTATAGGAATGCTGTTCATTTTTGAGTGTTGACTTTGTCTCCAGCTATGCTACTGAACTTGTTATTAAATCTGGGTGTTTTTTGGTTCAGATTTTGGAGTCTTCTCTGGAAAGTATCATAATGACAGTGGGCATTCTTGTCTTGTTGATTTTATAGTGAAATCATTCAGGTTTTGACCATTTAGTATGACGTTGGCTGTTGCTTTGTCATAGATGATAGCTTTTATCAGATTAAGATAAAGATCATCTATTCCAATATTTTGTAGGGATATTATTATGAATGAAGGATGGACTTTGTGAAACACTTTTTCTGCATCTCTTGAGATAATCATGTTTTTCTACATGATTCTGTTAATAAGGTATATTGCATTTATTGATTTGTGTGTGTTGAACCATCCTCACATCCCCAGGATGAATACTATTTGGTCATGATGTATCACCTTGATTATTTGGTACATTCTGTTTGCCAGTATCTTACTGAAGATTTTTGCATCTATGTTTATTAGAGAAATTGGCCTCTAATTCTCTGTATTAGTTGGGTCCTTCTTTGGTTTTGGTATCAGAGTAATATTTACTTCCAGAAATGAGTTTGGGAGTATTCCTTCCATTTCAATTTCATTAAAGAGTTTGACAAGTAATGGCATTAGATCTTCTCTAAATTTCTTGTAGAATTCAGCAGTGAATACATCAGGACCTGGGCTTTTCTTTGTTGGTAAGTTTTCAATTACATTTTCAATTTCATTAACTGATATTGGGTTTTTAAATTTTTTTTATCTTCTTGATTCAACTTTGATAGTTCATATGGATCTAGGAATCCATTCATTTTATCTGTGTTTTCTATCTTATTAAAGGTTCTCAAAGTAAATGTTAATGCTTCTGCTATTTGCAGGATCCATGATGATTTCATCTTTTTCATTCCTAATTGTATGAATTTGAATCTTTTCTTTCCCTTTTTTCATAAGGTTGGATAAGGGCTTATCAATTTTATTTAATCTTTAAAAAAAGTCTCTTCAATTTGTTGATAATATTTTCTTAGTCTCAGTTGCATTAATTTGTGTTCCAATGTTTATAATTTTGTTACT